AAAGAAAAAAAAGGTAGAAATAACAAATAAGACTTACTGTTTGATAGTATGATAGGGTGAATAGGACCAATAATAACTTAATTGTACACTTAAAAATACGTACAAGAGTGTAATTCTATTGTTTGTAACACAAAGGATAAATGCTGCAGGGATGGATACCTCATTCTTCATAATGTGATTATTTCACATTGCACGCCTGTATGAAAACATCTCATGTACCCCATAAATATACACAACTACTATGTACCTACAAAAATTAAAAATTAGGCCGAGCACAGTGGCTTACACGTGTAATCCCAGCACTTTGGGAAAGCAAGGTAGGAGGATCACGAGGTCAGGAGTTCGAGACCAGCTTGGCCAATAGGGTGAAACTCCATCTCTACTGAAAAATAAAAAAAAATTAGCCAGGTGTGGTGGTGCGCACCTGTAGTCCCAGCTACTCAGAAGGCTGAGGCAGAAGAATAGCGTTAACCCGGGAGGCGGAGGTTGCAGTGAGCCAAGATCACACCACTGCACTCCAGCGTGGGTGATAGAGCAAGACTCTGTCTCCAAATAAATAAAAAACAAATAAAAAGTTTAGAATTCAAAAAATAAAAGCTGAAATTATAACAAAAAACAATGGTTCCTAAATGTAACCTAGATATTTTATCTGATGAATTAGATAAAGAAACAGACAAGTACTGTATAAACAACACTGTATACTCAAGACTAATCTTGTCTTTATAGCCTTGATTCCAGAAGCTATGTTTCTCTCAGGCCAGATCTACTCCCTAGTTGAACATGAAACCAAGGCATTCATATACTTTCTGGAAATCTGTCTTCCTTCACCTCTTCTCAATCCTCAAACGTGTAGAAAGAAAAATGAGTTTAAACTTTAATCATTACCAGATATTCAACACTATTATGGCCCGATATTAATACCCTATTTTCCTTATAACTGACCTGCTTGAATACCTGCATTGAGCCACCTTCTGAATTAAGTTGGACCTCCAAGTTGTTTATGAGTTGATCCATATCTGGAAAAGATAAAAGGAAAAGACAACTTTTAGAATAAAATCTAACCCACTACAGATGTTAAGTATGCTATTCACAGTTATGTGTGTTCTATGAACTTTATCTTTTAGTACTTACTAGATACCGATGTCATTGAAACATTCTGACTTATTTTACTCATCAAGATGGCCCTAACATTTCCCCAATATTACTAGCCACTCACCTCCAAACTGCATGCAGGGAATCTGTTTCTTATTTCTCCAAGCTGCTCTGCCTTCATTGGAACATCAGCATAGCTACAGTTTTCAGAATCCTACCTTCCTGGTCTAGTTCTTGCTTGAAGGAGTTCCAAGCTCCTATATGTGTATTTGCCCCAGTGGACTTATTTACACATCAAGGCCAAATCTCCTGAGAGAAGTATTTTACCTGTCTACCTCTCTTAAATCTACAAGTCAAGTGGGGTTAATAAAAACAGTTTTTTTCTTTCCTCTTTAGTTTTTCCTCTTACGAAAAGAGGGAATTGGTAGCCTCATTCAGCAGCATTAAACTATCAGTCATTCATACTAGAAGCACTTACTAGCTTTCTTCCTCAACGACATTTTCTGCGAGTCAGATGCGCAGCACTCGCAACCTGTAATCTTTGGCAAGGCCATTTTTTTTCTCTAAGCCTCAACTTGTCCATCTATGATTAAAGGATTTCAGAGTATCCTCTGCAGAGCCCTAACGATTCCATGGAATTTGGGGGTGGGGTTTGTTACATTAAGGTTAGCTTAAACCTGCCTCCTTACATATTTTAAGTTCAACCTAAAGGTTTCCCCATACATAATGAACCATAACCTAACTGGATGTGTAAACAGAGTGTAACCTACTCTTGCACCAATCACAGGGTTTCAGCCAATTACAGGTGGTCAACTATTCAAACTGTTCGAATAAGGCAAACACTGAGATGTAACCAATCCAGCCGTTTCTGTACCTCACTTCCATTCTCTGTATCTCACTTTCCTTTTTCTGCCCATAAATACTATCTGACTACACGGCAGCCCAAAAGTTGCTCTGAATCTGTTTTTCTTCTGGGGGCTGCCTGGTTCATTAATCGTTCTTTGCTCAATTAAATTATGTTAAATGTAGTTTGTCTAAAGTTTTTCTTTTAACAGGTTAATGGAGGAACTGTAGTAAGTAATAAGAATAATAGAAGGCAGAATTCAGAAAACTGACTTCCAATAGAATCTGAGCTCCTTGCAGGCAGATACCCAAGGCCCTACAACATTGCCTGATACATGGTAAGTGTTTAATCACATTTCTGAAGATTTTTGATGACAGTGACAGAAAAGGAGAATGAGAATGTGTTTTCTCAAATACAGAAATTGGAAAGGAGTAGAAAAGAATGAAAGAAAATTAGAGAATTTATGTATGAAGGATGCCTGAGGCATAATCAACTATGAAGTGATAGGTGGTAGAAAGGACAGCTGAGCTTTTTCTGATTTCTACCATAGGGAAAGGAGGTGTCACGGTGGAAAAAGAATATGAGGTCAGGTAACTCTCATACAGTCCACAGGGGGGCACCAAAATGCTAGGAGAGCTTTCTTTGTTGCTGCCAGAAAAATCTGCAGGAGTGGAGAAGATTGGATTCTCCCTCTGCATTCACAACACCTTCAACCAGGCTTCATTATTTCTAGCAAATACAACTTAAGAGAGCCATCTCCGGGCACCAGGAACCAGGTTTA